GATACAATCATTCTGGCACTAAAATTCGTTTAATAAAACTATTTTTAAAGAAAGCATTATCTCTTGACGCTTTTGTATAAGTTTCAGTTAACAAAATGATTGTACAGGTAACATGAACAGGTCAACTATGGGATTAACTAATTGATGATGTCGAATAGTTTGTTGAAATGTTATCACTGGGAATGTGGTTCGCGTTTGTTCCAACTGTAGCTATACAGGAATTTATGATTTTTTGAATACTGGGCTGAATGGCCTGTCAGAGAGCTCTACACATCGCATGAACAACTTCCAAGTGTCAGATCAGTGAAACAACGATCTTTTACTGAACCAACAGAATCGCGCGGTATCTTCAAATCGAGTTGTCAAAAATGCCGAAATAACCACCTGTGTGCTCGTGTTCGTGTTGGGGGAGCCTGATAGTAATGCGACAACTTGAAGGGCAGTAACATGACCCGACCCGGGCTAATAAGGCACACCTGGCAAATTAAAACACGCGCGGATGACGATGCTGAGGCATGCAAAAGGTCACGTGGCCCTCTTAGCATCTCGTGCACGTGCGCTAGAGGCAGCCCCGATGACATGAACGACGCTCACAACAACGAAAACAAGTAAACCAATAAACAAAACTGTGCGCGTTGCTGTGGGGGCGGAAAGTTGCTCTGCGTTGATTGGTTCCTGTGTGGGGGGAGGTTGCTACTAAAGAAGGATGATTTCATTCAGGAATTGTCATGATATCTGGAGGGAGTAGGAGGATATGTTGTGTGTGGACCGAATTGTACAGCTCCGTGTCCATAACTGGGTCGAGGTTGCTGAGGCGACAGTAAACGCTATCTTCAAAGTAAATAAGTAGCGCATTTTAGCTTCGCTTCAAGGACTGAGCAGCAAAGTTGGTGCCGCATGTTTTTGAGGTGTTCCGCAGCCATAACTGCCCCATGACGATTCATTTAAGGAAGCCATTATAATCCGTTATCAGTATCAACTTGCGTACTAAGGAAAAAACACGTAAATATTCGACTTCCAGGCCACGACATCACAACAAAGACAAGAACGAAGAGAAATCACTATATATTAATTACTTTCTCCACCCAGAGGAGTAGAGTTTTATGAAAAATTCTCTTGATAAGTTTTGTCGAGAAGAAACCCCAACTGACCAAAATTTCGCTGATTACTAAAATTTTAAATACGTTTATGTCACTGCTACTTAATACGCTACTTCGATGGGACTCAGTGTAATTTCTGCCATTATGCTTCTAATTTCATCATTTTTTTAAAATGTCGATTATTTCGTAGCTGTTATCAATTGACGACTGAGTGATTGACACCAATGTAAGTATCATTTACTTTCTACTTATTATATTCTAGTAACATATATGCCACAAGTATATCAATAAGAGCCTTGGCACAACATTTGAAAATTTAGGTCTGAAAGTTAGATAATAGCTATCGCTAATAGATTTGACAACGAATTGAAATATAAAACTACTTGACTTATTATTTAACTGTTCAAAAGAAGCCAGCAATAATTTCTTAAACTATAACCAGGAAAGTGCCGTTAAAAAAGGACAATATGATTAAATTTGACGTCACTTTCCAATTAAAAAAAACCAAAAATGGTCGTTTACATAATAAATAGGATTCCACAAGTGCTCATATTTCCTCTTGACACTCATTTATGCACATAGAACAAGTAATTATTTATAAATTGACTACAAGTAACTTAAAGTTGAACAGGATACTATAATTAGTTCATGCTTTCTGACAAGTTAACACCAATTATATGTTGGTCACTTAACTGAGAGCGAAAAGGTAAACCGCTATTAGAAATATTATAAAGACACAAGATCGATGACAGTGTTACATAAGATTGCCTGCAATTAAAAGACATTAGTTGCCAGTAAGTAAGAAAGACAGTAATTAACTGCAAATGGCACAAAGTGTATTTCAACATATCTTAATTATATCTTTGCACGAAAAATGTTACAAGTACACAAATTGCTGCTCAAGTATTATATTTTGCATAAAACAGGCATCGCTTTTTCAAGTTTTAAGGTATCACAGATTATGAATTTAGTAATCATTCCAGTTACACCCTAACTTAAAAATTGAAAAAACAAGACTTATCTGTCCTTGAGCATAATTGAAAAGATATTACATTCACCCGTACAATACCACGAAATTATCTGCAGTTTAAAATTCAATTTTTTCAAATTTAAAGGTTAGTTTTTGTTGTAATTTATGTTGAGGTGTTTTTAGTTCATGTTGCCAGCTTATATGATAGAAAAATTTTATGTACCCTAAAACTGTCTGATTTGATCATTGACCAATCACAACGCGCGACTTTTTAACAACCCGCATTTTTGGTGTGAAAATTCTGCATCCGTTAATTTGCTCTGGCTCTATTTCTTTCTGTTCTTGTAAGTTGTAACTACCTTAAAATGAGCTTGCACGCTGTAAATCAAATCGATAGTTTAATCGTATATTCTGACAACCTTTAACTTTGTTTAGTTGTAATTGTCGAGCGTTTACCACAACCTCAGCCCTTCGTGCAATTGTTTTAGACTTGTCTTCTAGACTTCTGCAAACAGTATTATTTTGAGGACACCCTGGTATTATTTTGATAGTAATCTTAATTAAAGCTTTGTAGCTTGCTTTCGTCAATGTCCCCCGTGACCCGGTTTCGCTTCTTTTTGGTCGTAGCAATTTAAGCATCTGGAAGTAATTCTTGTGAAGTCCTCTATTTTTTAGTCATGCTGTTTCCCCGGAACAAAATCCATATGAAATCGAACTTACTATGTGACCTAGAAAAGAACTATTTTGTCAAACTAACTCGGTGCTTTTATTTTTACCATGTCGCTTTCCGGGTAAACGGTTTGTCTCTTATATGTTCGACTTACTGAAAGTAACATCATAATATTTGCCGTTTTAGTCGTAGGCCTCGAATATGCCACTTCCAAAGTACACGATCCAACCCACGCGGATAAGTCTTGTCACGATGCCAGACAAGATTGACAACGAGCTGGAATACGTATCAAACGAGACCCTCTGCAATCTGATGCACCAAATGGCATCAGTTGCGTCTGTGGCCTCGGAGATATTTGAAGAGCTCTCTGCCGACCTGAGCTCTATCTCTGCGCGTATGAACCGCGTCGAACAACGCGTGGCAGCCATTTCCACGACCATTAAATCTCTCCCCACGAGCGTGGAAGTGTTGTCTGTTGGACTGCAGAATCTGTCAGCTCCTGTTTCTGGTGTACGTGAGCAGGAGTTGGACAGCCAAGTTCTCCATCGCAGCACAAAGCCAGCTTGCATGCAAGCGCAGTACGAACGGGCTGAGCCCTCGCCTCCACTCCACGTGATGGATCCACTCCGCGATGATGGCAAAACCACGGCACGCCTCTACTCCGACCCTCGGTTCTTCTTCGACCTCTGGCGCAAAGAGATGCTGGAAGATGTCTTCGTTGGCGGTGGTGCTGGTGGCGGCGGAAAGGGTGGCAAAAGGACTCCCAAGAAAAAGGTCCGCCTTCATCCTCATTTCTTTCTCTGCTTTAAGTTTATGCTACTGGAGCTTCATATCAACACTTGGTACCTTTTTCTAGCGTCCCAAACCCAAGTCGAAACCGCCGTCTGCGCCGGGTGTGGGCGAGCAGCCACGTCCGGCCACTCCACCGATTGTGAGTCCACCTGCTTCGGTGTACAGTCAAGGCGGCGGCTGTGGTGGTGGCGCAGATGGCGGAGGTGGAGCGTCTGCTGAACCTGGTGGTTCGGCAGCAGCTTCGCTACCTCCTCCACCGCCCCCGCCGACAGCTGGTTCGGAGTACGGCGATCCCGAAGAGGCGCTCACGCATCCCAGCGAGTGGGTTGGTGGGGTTGCACGCTCCACACCCTTCCCATACCACCGCCCCGTTGCCTCGCAGCCTGGTAAGCACGCAAGTCTATCTCATGTTGCTCTTCCACTTTTCTGCCGTGGGCGTTTTCATTTTAATTCCTGCTAATCGCTCCTAGGTCTGTCAAACAGTTTGCGGCCATTCCTCCACACTAACCACGACAGCTTTAAGGTGGTAAAGACCACCATTTAATCGTCCTATCTGAATTGCTCAGTAGAATTTACTTCCCAATACTCGGAATCACCATTTTACACAATTTTGAACTAGCGCTATTGGAATGCGACATCTGTAGCACTAGAATAGATAGAATTGGTACTTCCCAGTACATTACCAAACGTTCCACGTAACAACGCGCACTTAACTTCCCTCATTGTTTAGCAGTCAGAACACGAGAGTTTAAATGGATTATGCCTGTTGTGTCTAGTAACTGCGTAGTTCTGTGTGCGCAGTCGCGTCAATGGTTCACTTTTCAGGCGCTTGACAGAGCACATTCTGTACACGGTTGGTGCTTGTTTACACTATTATCGCCTCGCCTGCTAGCTTCGCTTTGGCACGAGGTGGCTTGATTTTTTCGACTTGGCGAATAGTCGCCACGTAGGACTCGGACTTGCGACTTCTAGGTTGTCAGTTTCATGTTTTTTCAACGCGCATCTCCTACTTTGAGCCACAACGATTCTATCACAAAGTGACCCAGTTCACGTCTCATGCCATGGTGATTGTGGTATTTGAGGTGAATTGTGTGTTTAACATGGAAGATTGTTCTCACCACGCTTTCAACCTCGTTGTAATAGCTCCAAATTCACTCACTTTTGTCTGGCAAAGGGTTTTGTATTGCTGGCGGCCTCATTCCTCTGGCACTTCACTGTTGGACTGATTTGATTGGCTAATATAATCCTGCTCCCACGACCACTTGCTCACTGTCCAATCATCGCGCAGAACTCAGTCTGTAAACCTACTTTGTAGATGGTGGCCTTCTTGGCAGTTCGTGTGAATCACCTCCGCCACCACCACCGCCGCCGCCACCTCTGATGGATCTGTCGGCTTCTTCCGTCGGTTGTGGCAGTGCCGGCGGTGGAGCCCTCTCTGTCGAACCCATTCACAGTCTCCCTCCGTACGCACCGTCCATGTCGGTACGTGTTGAATCTCTTCATTTCTCCCCACAGCATCGACTTGTTTCGTATTAACGAAACACCTCTCTGACGGAGCAATGCTTTTATTAGCCAGCCATGGAACGCGCTTAGTCAGACTGACATTTGGTAGCGAATTATTCTTTCAGTGCCAACTTCGTTGTAGCCGCAACTGTCTGGAAGTAGGGACGCTCTGAACGCGAGCGGCGACCTCTTGCCACCGCCGCCTGCCATGATGTCGACCAGCTCCGACAACCTCTTGCTCTCGACCTCGTTCCACTCGGAGCACCCACCGCCACCACCACCGCCTCCTCCTCCTCCGCCACCGCCACCTCCTCCACCACCAATGGCCGAGCCGACACTGACGACGGCGACCAAAACCATGTCCGGTCTGCCTGGGCCACCGCGCGACCTTCTCTCTGACATCCGAGCCGGAGGTTTCCGCTTGAAGAAGGTTAGCGAGCGGGAGTTGCCGTCACGGGTTGCAGCCAAAGACTCCATTGTCAGTCGTGTCTGCGATGTCTCCGTGAGTTTGTCTCTCCATACAACCGCTACTAATAAACCGTCAGTAGTGTTAATCGTCTTTCAAATTGTTGAATAGGCAATCTTCGAGATGGTTAGTCGACGGCGTCAGTGTCTGGAGAATACCTCTGAAGATGACGACGACAAGACGAGCGACTCCTGCGGATGGGAGGACTAGAAGACCGATGACGCCACTGATTTTGATGCATGCATTTTCACGTTATCCACAGGAATACTTTTCCTCCACTTGATCTCTCCACTGATTTAGCACGACATGTGTTTAAAATTGAAGCATACTCTTGCAGTTCATGCATTTCCGCTGTTACCATAGCGAGGGGTGGATGCACTGGCGCCGGTGCTTAGGATAGAGCACTTTCAGTAGATCGGCAATCGATGGACAGTTTCGGTTTGGGATGCTCGAATTGTCAGACTCGTATTTCAGTAGTATTGGCAAATTATACTCGATGTTAAGTCGATTCGGAGATGGTTAGAACGGGGGTGCACGTTAGTTAGCAATCGGTTAATGCTTAGAGTTCGGTCAAATGCAAAACACTGCTAACGCAATTCAATTTAAGGTGCGCGCACAAACGGTCAGCCTGGCTAAAGTGCCCGTTTACGAAACAGCATCACAATGATTTAGCTGCTGTCACCTCAGAGAGAGCCACGACAGTAGAAAGTTTTTACCTGTTTAAGGAATGTTGCCTTAAGAATTATCATATGCTTCTGCTGTTTAAAGTCAAGTGACTGATTTCGACATTATCTAAAAAGCCCACCACTTCATGAAGACTTGCCAATTAATCATCAAATTTGATCGTAATCTCATATCTAACCGTTCAGCTTTTGGTGTGTAGCACGAGTTAACACCGACAGACGGACACCGTCTCTGAGATCTTGTCGCTGCCATTCCATTCCACACCCAGTAGAGGTGGGAATGATGTCAATTAAATTACACTTGTATTGAAAGGGTGTTTGCAGTTGTGCGATGCCACTTTTGTGGTTCTCGAACCGCAACTGGAATGATGGCCCACGTTGACACGACTCGATCAAGAGAGAAGAAGAAGTCCGTGGACAACGCTGAGGTCAATCGACTTGTTGGCATGGTGGGGGCGCTGTCTTCTAGTGCAGCAAAGCGTCACTTTTAAATGCGAACACGTGACATTCGACCTCGAAATTAAACGTCGTTCAGTGAAGCGAATTCAAAATAACCGACTAAATTAATTTTCGCTCACATCGAAGAAGACCATTTGTGGAAAATCTGAAGTACGCCTAGCATGGACTCAGTGGTCGCAAACACTGCATCCGATCGCCTAAATATGAAAAGATGCTCGTAACAGTTGAGTTCGTCCACAGAACTCGTCAATCCGCGTCGAGTAAATGATATTTTTGTACACACGCCACCCCCTTGTTTTAAAGTGCTGCTTGTCGTTGTTGCTCAACGCGAAAGCCCGTGTGGTGACAACTTCTCCAAGATAGCTTTTTTCGGTAAGTTTGGTCGTTAAACACCATTTTAGGTAACGTTCCTCGCTTTAGGACGACGCAAATGTGTTTATCAACGTTCCGAGCTGTTGTTTTTGTTTTTCCTGTCGTGGAATCGATGCGGAGGGACGAAATAGTTATTTGCATATTTATCTAATTCTGTGAATGACCCACATGTTTAAATCGACGTCCCACTCTTCAAAAACAATTAATTTAATCGATCAGAATTTGACAGTTAGTAATTGAAGTTGGATATTCCGACGTGACGTCTGTTATAACTCGAAAGGCGTCGACAAGTGTCGCATCGCTACTTCCTGAGACAGTTTCAGTCTGTCGTGGAACGCAGGACCAATGACAGTGCAAACCGTCTAAGTAGTTTCTTGCAGTTCTGCTGAACGCCGTCGAATGTCGTGCAATAATCGACTCAGAAATCAGCTTTAAAGCTGCAGAAGGAGTACTACTCAAACACAGTGAACAACTGATGATCGCACGGTGATCAGCCGACTAACTGATAAGTGTAGACCAAGCGGTTCCTAGTTCAAATTGAGTCAACAAATGCACGTTTGTCAGGCATTAAACGGTGTCCTCTTTGCAGAACAGGTCATTCCACAGACAGATGGGCAGACGCTGTTTGAAGGCCATTCACTTCACAAAGGACTGTCAGTCTTGGCGCGTTTGAACCTCTCATTGTTGGTTGGGTCCTCATCATTTCCTGCTGAAATTTCTGCCACGGACTTTGCTTTGCCGACCCAAAAGTGTCGAACAGTCTTTTGACTAAATACGTCTGCTGTTCATTAGGAAATGGACTAGATGAGGAATCGGGGCTGTCCTTTCATCAAGAATCTCCCAAAAAGGCAAGATCGGGAAACGCTACTTGTGTGAGGTGCCGATTTAGCATCCAGAGATGTGAAAACTGAGCCGTGTGTTGTTTCAGGCGCTTCTGTCAACCCAAGTATCGTTGATCAGGAGCAAATCAGAAGGGTCTTACCAACAGGAACCGGCAGCTGTGGCACCAGCAGGAGACGACCACGTGAATGGCAGCTGACAGAAGTGACCACGGGAGTGATTTGATCCCAAAGTGGCTCATGCATGGTACGCTATTCCTCGTTGGAAGAAGATTTAAATGGCCATAACAAGGTGCCCCTGCTTCGGAAGAACTCCGACACTAATGATTCTACGCCGCACAACTCATGCCAAGCCTTGTCTAAAGGAAATAGCGCCAGCCAAACATTTCTGTGTTACAAGACCAGCGAGTGAAAGGGCTGAAGGGAAGATGTGCGAGGAAAGCGAGTGGCGATTAACCCTCGCCATCCAGAGTTTGACTTCTCTGCCCCCTCTATCCCTGGCGAATGTGCCATTTACCACGTTAGTGTCATGGACTCCTTTGTTGTACTGTTTTAGCTATCATTTTAACGTAGTTTGGAATTTGAGTAGTGCTACATTAGCACTCTTGTACAGTAGTTATCCGCAAATTATTTTACTTAATGCGTCTTGTCTTTAATATCGTTCCAGGCTGTCTTTTGTACTTTGCTTGGCGTGTTATCAGTATGGAGAAATAAACGATTAGCAAACGTAAACTGCGCACATTTGAATCGTCAGTCAGGTTTTGATGCGATTACCTGTCTAAAATTGGTCCTTCTGGTTCAGCAAAACATTCGCAGATGGCGGGCTTTCCTTTTCAAACAAAATCGATTGTTTTATTGACTGGGAAGGCACCAGTAGGAATACGCCAGTATCGTAGCTGAGTTGCGTTCAGTGTGGGAGATTTCGCGTGCAAATGTCACATAGAACAGACGATGTAGCTAATCGACGTAAATCAAAATCTAGAGGAAACATTTAAGCGAAAGTTGGCTGAAAGTGAAACTGATTCCAAATGCACCCACTTAATATTAGAGACAATCAGTAGGAAAATGTAATCTGCAAGGCGACAGGGAGTATAACTGATGTACTTGGTGCATAGAAAGGGACTTGGGTTTTCCATGTTGGAGGCAACAAACAGTTATACTTGTCGACATTCGAAGAATGGGAGGTTAGTATCAGAACAACCATCGTTGATGTCTGGTCTTCGTCAACCGAGGGATCTGTGTCAGTGTTGCGGGATTTCATGGAAATCGTCCACATGTTGATTGTGATGACTTAAATCTAAATGGAGGGACAACTGACGTAAATGATGGTCGATAAATCGTGATAGAATGAATATCGCTTTGCATCAAATACTACAAGACTAACTACACAAACAGGTGGTCTTCTTGAAAATGAGGACGCAAGAAGTAGCAGAGAAAGAAACTATCTCGGGAAGCGACGAATGGGTCGTACTGGGTAACAGTGCTTCTAACTTTCACCAGTAATGTTTGCTGACTAAAATTGCACGTGAAAATGCGATGCTGCTTACCTTTGCATTATATGGCTACCACCAGCAAACTGGTGCATGGTGTAAATGAACTTGACTAGGGGCGGTTCCTTTCTGACAGAAGCTAAGAATCGGCTGAGGAAGGGTGATTTTGGGGTTACTAACAAGAATCTGAACATCCGACTCTCCGTCGAGCTAGAAAAACGGAGAGGGGGATTCGAGTGTCAGGAATGGTGGTCTTTGACGGTCTGAGGACTTCGTGGGTATGGGAGGAGCTGACGATTTCACGCCAGGAGTGGATTTGCAGCACTGACTGAGGGTGGGAGTCGCAGAGGCGGGGCAGATCCCATTGTTCACTCCCTGTTCGCTCAATTTACGTGGTGGTTGGTTGGCTCTTTCCACACACATGGGGCTTCTAACGTCCACAGTCAATTTGAGGAGCAATTGCCTTGCTCAGGTTACAACCGCGGAAATTGCAAAGGCCCACGTGTACAATCGTTGATTTACCAGCTTTACCCGGGGGCGGAGCGTTATCGAGCCTCTTAATATCGTATTAGGGGGGGATTTCATGATCATTATGAGTCAGCCCGGGAAGGGGAGGTGTCGCACACTCAGGTCGACCTTGACATGAACCAATAATTAGACCTGACAGATCCAATTGGTCGAGTGGTGATCCTGCACACTACAAAAGAGGTGGGTCGCTCCTGCGCAACACAAAAATTACCCGGCACAACACCGATATGGCAGAGCCTACAAAGCGACGTCTATCCGATACCGACAGGAGGGCAGAGGAATGCATGGCAATGATCGACGCAGATTTCGATAGATTTTGTCGAAAGTATGACTTCGATCCATCAAATATTGAGAATTCGGCGTCGGGTAAGTATAAGTGGCAGCTAGTGACCGAGAATGTTCCCTCTTTCTACACTGCGCCTCCCCGTCGCAAGCCATACTTCCAATCCCAGATAAAGCGGAAGAGAGTGGAGTGTAGTGAGGAGGAAGAAGAAGACAAGCATGAAGTGGAGGAAAAGGCCCACGAATCACCAGTCAAATCCACCAACTCAAGGCGTCGTCGTCGGTGTCGCAGGAGAAAACCACTTGCGAGGTTGTCACAAAACGGAATTTGATTTTGATCTCATGCATTCATTGGTTACTTCGACTGTGTTGCATAATGCTGCTACTATGCTATTATTAGACCAATAGAATTTCATTTTGTTGAATTTATACGCGATTCCTTTATTTTGCAGTGGTGATGGGCGAAATGAGAATGTTGCATTGGGGTTTAGCATAAGCTGTCAAAACGGAATCGATGCCACTTGTTGAGAAAGCTACTTTGGTGGGAAGCGGAGGTTGTGGGTTGTGGTTTGAGACATCTATGAGTCGTGATTGTGGTCCATGTGTCTAGTCGAAATATGGAAGAATGGACGTGTGCTGACTCTAAGCGATTTTGTGCACACCATTCGGTGTAGGATTAGGGACAGGCGGAGAATGTACATTTGAAAGAAGGTGGGTTGCTAATCACGTGAACGTGATTGGCACGAGTTCAGACAGAATGGGTTACTCAAGAATCCTCGTTGTCCAGACACAACTAGGTTGGACTGTGTGGCAAACGGTTGTTGCATCTCTCGGCTCTGGACTGCTTCCTGTCTTCTTGGGTATCCAACTCAGCAACCTCGGCGTGGTTCGACGTCACATGCTGGGGCCCTCAAAGACATCAAAGTGCTGAATCTTATAAAGTAGATACTAAAGTAAATCGACTAAATATAGTTGCTGGTGGGAATTGTTCAAGGTTAACCAGGCGTAACGGTGTTACAGCTTATCATGACATCGCGACACCTAGTGAGGTTTATATGCTAGATTTGTCTCTGCGCTTTTTAACATTGCGAAGCATGACGCTATTTAACTCGAGATTTTAATTTTCAGAACGCCGGGAATCATAGGATATAGCATCCCAAAAATCACAGAAATGTGATTTGGAACGTTACTTGCCACTTCGACCTGATGGACAGTTAGTTGTTTTGTAGCAAATTACACTGTGCTTTGGTTGTGAAATGCAATTAGTGATACTGAAACTAAATCGGACTAGCAAATGGAGCAATAGTTTGTTGATTATCAAGCTTTTATATTCAAGTTTAGGGTTTTTATCAAGGAGGAAGAGTAGAATTGACCTTTGGTGATTTTCGTCTATTGTAGGAACACGATTCCACCTGGAAACCACAGAGGATGTTAGAGTAATTTTTAATGTTAGTGGGGGATTCCTTCGTAAAGCAGCCAATATTTACAGTAGGCGACAACTACTTCTAGATTTAAAGTCCCGCTGCAACTAATGCATGAAAACACAATGATGTATACACAAGAAATGACTGCTACTCAAACCGGTTACCACATGGAAGCAAACGTGATAGCTACCTACCTAATGGACATATTTCGTGCAATCGACTACAGTCATTCAGTACCAGTCACAAAATATGAGCTGAGGACGTCGTCGGCGGTGCAGGATGCGTGACGAGATTCGGATAGATCACTTCGCATTTGCGGAGGTGCGACGTGAACTATGACCTGATGACACCCCTATCTCTCAAACACCCAAGCACAACCACTTGGCCAAACTCCGCCTACCGGTAATGCACGAAAAGCGTTTTTGTGCTCGGTGCAATGACGCTTTGCTTTACATTGTGATGGGTCGTGGATGAGTACAATGGAAAATGGGATGAAACACGGTAGATTTGACTAAAAAGCTTCATAATGACACAATTTTGGCCCATTTCAGCCAGTTTGGCATTTTAATTCTGGCTTTGGTAATCCGCTATGAGCCGTCGACACCCCTTTCACACATTGACGCACAACCACGTGACCAAACCCCACCTTCCGGTAATGCACAACCAATCACCAACTTGTCAAGTAGAAATTCACGTCGACCAACCGACTCGGACAGTGCTCGTGCAATAATCAGCGAGTCTCTGGACAGAAAGCGAGTAACTTCATCAAGACACTTATTTTTCATGGCGCAATTCAGAGAACGCAACATTCCTCCCACAAGTAACTACCGTAGTTGGGATTTTGGGCGAGTTTGAAGTTCAAATGGCAGTTTCTGTGTGTTGAAAATGGAGCACATTTCGTGGAATCGTGTTTCAAACATCCATATAGTCAAGCCGACAACATTCAATTCCTACAAATACCACATTTCGTACACAAACTAATCAGTCCATTTCACTCGGCTGTGTGCCTTTTTGACCCTCACCTCAGGTTCAGCTGCTGCTGCTGCTGCTGCGGATGAGCCGATTGTGCCCGTTCAGATCGGCTCATCACTTCGATTCGTGTAGAAATGCTCCAATTTACATAATCCACGTGATTTTCATCTGATTGGTTGTGCCATTTCGGGTAGTTCAAACCAAATCACATGGGCCATCATTGGCTCAACGTGGTATCTTGCTTCAAATGTGCTCTTACATCAGAAGACCAATCTCATTATGAATGCTTCTGCGTCTTCTTAGAATAGTTATGTAGAAACATTGTCCCGGTGTGAATGGTCGAGACTTCCGTTAAAAATTACTCCAAACAAAGGCAAACGATTGATTTATTTGCAATTTGCTTATGATTTAATGAAACAGGTATTCGGTAAATTCATTTAACATTGCCCAAATTTCCTTCCTGGCTAGGTCAGAGTGTGTACTGCATTTCGGCTAGTCAGAGTAAACTTCAAACATTGCGTAGATTGTGCAGGAGCTATCGAGCCTCTGAACACACCGTTTCCTGCTCCAGACCATATTCCGATTTGCAGCATTAGGCCGGTCACGTCGTCAGAGGAAGAAGTCTAGTTCCAGCAGCAGCACCGCGTGACGTGTTACGAAATATGAAACTTTGTCAAATGATTTCGTACTTTTCACTGATAATCTTTCATCGCAGCGACAAACAAAGTCTAAATTCATTTCCTGCAATATAAGGGTTGTAAATCTCACGATTCATGGCGATGATCCGAAGTGCCTTCTTGGTACCTTCGCCGCATATGCGGTTGACAACACATTCTGACTGGAATTAGTCTATGGGTTGAGAGCAGTCGATACGAAATAAGAGCAAACTCTTTACTTAAAACAATACACAAAGACAGTTATAAGATAGTTAATCTAATGAAAAGCACAAAGTCTTACGGGTTGCTGATATCACCAATATTCTCTCCTTGGGGGAACCTGGGGTTGAGTCTGTCGGCGTTGTCTGGTAATGCTCCAACTCAAATCAATCCACTTGTTCCTCTGTGCCATGATGTCGAGTTTGGGCTTCTGCCATTATAGAACGTCGTTGGTATAAGTTCCACAGGCAGTCTAGTTGAATGTGTTCCTGCCGATGGAGTGTTCCCGAGTTTTGTCAGCATCCGAGTTGCCCTCATTGCCACCAATTTCTCTTCAACGCGACACGACACACCGTTACGGCGAACACGACCATCTGTTGCGGCCTGTTGCCCTTCCATTGCTCAGTGGGTCACGTCGTATTAGGCAGTTGAACTCGTTCACCACATACCCACCTTCAACAGTCCATCTGCTTCCACCCGTGGATACTCCAGACTATCATGGACCCCGACTGCCCCTGACGGTAATTGACCATTTGGAAGAGCCTCATATGCTCTTGAGAGGAACACCAACAAAATATTCTGCTGATTTTTGAATCTCATTCTGCCTGACATGGACTGGTTTCAAAATCGTAAATTAATACGTAGTTATCAAACACATGGTGGGGAATGACAATTTAACGAGCTAATCAATTTTCGATGAGGCGTGATCAGAATCCCGCGACTAACCGCTGACCAATGGCGACACGGGCTAGTTGGAGGAACTTATATCAGTGAAATTGAAGCGAATTCGATAAAAGCAAAAAAATTGATACGAATAAAGAATCAATAATAACTTCGCCATAAGTACTCTCAAGTAATGTGACTGGTGTCTGCAGATGCTAAACGTGTTCAAGCGCGACTTGGCTGGCAGTGAGGTAGTGAGAGACATGTCACACTAAGGCAAACTACGCGAATTGTGCATCAAGTCACATTCTGCGACAAATTCGATCCCACGAAAAGGCACCAACTGACATGGTTCCAGACTAATATTGGGTAAACGTCTGCCTAAAAACTGAGACGACGTCAAGTTGCTTGGATTCTTTTGTTTGGAGAAATATTGGCATCAGTGGTAACCGGGACACTCTTAAATTTGATTCTGTGTTCTAATTCGTCAATACGAGAAAGATCCTTTCCTGTCTACGTACAATGTGTGACATTCAATAAGAAGCAGCCACGTTGATAAACGCACTTGGTGACTGATATTAATCCCCAGACATTAGAACATGAATTAATTCTCGCAGAGACCTGCTTCGAGCTTAAAATTATATCTAAAATAGTAGCTTTTGTGGTTTTGGAAGGATGGCAGACAGGGCTTCAGAACACCAAGTGACAAGTCCACGTGAGTTGCACAACCCCCCAGATTAGCAGAGTGGACAATGGCTCCTGATAAACGTCACATTTGATGACACTGAATTTTATTGGAATTGCAACAGGTAATCACTTTGTCGCTTTGTTGGTGGTGCCGGCATTGGGTTGCATCAAACGTGTTCCAAGTGTGGACTTTGATCGTAGTGATCACCTGCCCACCACACAGCAGCCTCGACATTTTGAAGACGTGGAATCGCAACTATTTCTTGATGAAGATTCAACGCTAACGTGACCAGAGTTAGCAGCTCAGTTAGCAGTCACCCAAACAGCTATGTGCAAGCGTGTGCACCAGATGGGAAAAATTTGATAATTAGAAGTTCTGTCCCCCTCTCTTATTCTCACCTACCACAATCTAGGTCAACGCATGAACACACGCCTTCCATTGCTTGACCTGCACCGACGAAAAACCGACTGCTTGTGTAAAAATGTGACGACTGATGAAAAGTATACTTTCGTTACGAGAATACTAAACGTAAAATGGCGTCGTGGGTAGATCCCGGGCAACCCAGTACACTGACCCCGTAACAGGACATCCACTTGAAGAAGCTTCTCCTGTGTATGTGGAGGGGCATGAAGTGTGCGTTTTATCATGAGCGCATGCAAACTGGTCAGACGGTGACTGTTGAACTCTACAGCCGACAACTGAACAAACTGATCCAAGAATTTGATCGGAAAAAAATTCATTTACCGTTCAGGGAAACAGACAAGTCGTACTATTGCTTGTCAACGCTCAACCTCATGAACGTGGAATAGGATGATCTCCCACACACGGCACATCCACCAAACTGGACCCCATCCGACTGACATTTGATCCGGTCAATGCAGCAGCAACAGCTCACCGTAGTGGATACAGAGCTTAAAATGCTGGACATTGCGTGTGAATTCGCCCATGACTTTATTCCCTCAAAGCCTGCAAGTATCTTTTGCGACCTGGAAACGTTGAAGTTGGAATTGGTCATAGAAGACCAAGGACAGTATTTTCAAGATTAAATTTGCTGTTCTCTGTTTTCTGTTATTGAATAGATTTGGTCAACATTACGAGCACGTTAGAAAACTTGGCGAAAATGTCTCCTGTCCAAGAGGTTAATCCTGACGCTAAAGATACCGACATTGAACAATGCAGAATGACGAAGCACGATTCAGACGCCCGTTCACTGACGTGATTTCGGGTTGAAGGACCAGTGGACGCTGAACTATGCACCTGGTGAGTAGTGAATAGGCAATTATTTAAGTAACACTATTCGGTCTCAAATCTGGAGTCACCGGTAGTGTAGTCAGCATCGTTGTTGAAGAATTCATGTGCGATTATCAAGCGATTTTGGTCAAGCGACGTCCATCAGAAGGTACGAAGCCCGGTCATACACCGGACAAGGAAACGCAATAATGTATACACCGAAAATCAATTTTAGCTCAACCGCATGTCACTTGGAAGTAGGGTTCGTTGGGAATCGAATTCTTCATTGCAACCAACGCCAGACATTAAATGCCATAGAAAACACGCATTCATTTTAGTTGCTATCGCTCTGTCAAGAAATCATCTGGTGCTTTCTCTTCTTTCGTGATCCGAATCTCTTCATA